GACCAGAAGAGTAGACTTGGGAGCACTTGTTGGTCTGCCCCAAGGAAGCACGGGGGAGGCTGCTGCAGCCAAGAGGTAGTTCGGAGGAGATCTATTCTTTCCCACCCACTCACCCTTTTGCTTTTGGGGGTGTCAGTGGTAGGGCGAGGACGGATCGCCAGCAGTGGTAAATGAGGAAGGTGTGGTCGTTTGCCGATACTGCTGATGGGGCGAGGGTGTTTGGGTAGATGATCCTTGCCCGGGTGTGTCTGTCGCGCTAGGGATGTTGGCGGTACTCTCAGTGCGGGTGAGAGCGCCTAAGTTGAGGTGCCACGAGCGGCGAGTGCACAGTGACTGGATGATTGGTTATGGTCGACAGGGTCTGCCGTAGCCGTGGGCCGGCGGTCGGGAGCGGGGGCGGGTGCGAACCCAACGTGGGGGTTCGTGAGGTACCGCGTGTGTGCGACCGTTGATGAGCTTGACGAGGTAGCGCGACTTGACATGGGCACGCAGTGGTGTACTTCACGGTGCATCACAATCAATGTGGTACATGTGCGGTATATTGAGGTCGGTATATTGGAACATGCGTGCAATTTGGAGAAAGAAAGGGGGGCAGGCATGACTTGAGAGTATGCCTGATGGTGCGGTCACTGGTTTATACTGATGGTGTTGTGGACGGGGATAGGTTGAGATCCCCGAGTTCCGCTCTTCTCTCCCCCCCCTGTTCAAGCGTGGGGGGGTACGACCAATTAATGCAATTTCGAAAGCAACGAACAAAGTGGAGGATAGGGGCCAGAGGGGCAGACAACATAGAGCAAGGGAGGGCATTAAGGGCGGCGCCCGGGAATCGGCCAACATTGGCAGGAACGAACTCCGTGCCAACACGAAAAACGCCTGCAGAACCTACTTACAGAACCAGATATCAATTTCAAAAAAGGGTAAGCACAGCAAGTACAGCTGTGTACGCAGTACGCAGCCATCCTACGCACAGCCACCGGCCTAGGCACAGCCAGCCAGGCTACGCACGCGACAGCCTTTCGCGACACCGCTTCACACCGCTGGAAAAAAAAAATCCGGAGGTACAGCCAATCCAGAAGCGCTTCATGGAGACTGTTGCCGAGTGCTCTGCGCCGGTGGCGACCGTTGGTGCGTCGGGAGCTGCGTGGCGTAGCTGGTCTGCTGCCGCTGCGGATGAGGGCGCTAAGCGCACTACGACGGGGATCCCTACTTCCGGGAGCCCGGAGGCCGCTGCTGCTGCTGGGCCGTCAATGGACGAGGTAGGCAGGCGCTCTAAACGTACTAATAACGGATGAAACAAAGGCATCTCGCGTTTAAAATTCGGGAGCCCACACGCAGCAGTTGTACGGCCATCTGTCCTAATAATCATCAATGCGTTTCTGATTAGGCTTTCCAGGTAAAAGAGTTCTGTCGATTTAGGTCTGGTGTCGTTGTTGTGTTGGTGTCGTTGTTGTGTTGTACTTGGGCTGGACGCAATAGCTCGCCCCGGTACGATGTAGACTACATGTATGTAGAGTATACT